TTGATGTGTATCCGTGCGCATCAAAAACCTTCATATCTTTAAAGGGCGCAACGCGGCGTTGGGGAGCCAGCACAACAACTCCGAATACAACGGTATTGCTGCTGCATACTGGGAAGCATTCCTCCTCAAGTGGATGGTGGTATGGTGCTTGGGGGTTGGGGATGAGTGAGTGGGTGGCTGGGTACTTGAGCCTCGTATGCCACCCACACATCTTTCGACACAATACACCACGTTGCGCGTCCACGGAAAGGATCCTTCCGTCACCACCAACATTCTGAGGGCTGGTGTTTCTTGAGGCGTCACGCTACAGGTATGAGGAATGTGCCGCGAGTTCTCCCTTCACGCCAACAACAGTAATGACAACCAGCGCCTTTCAACAGTGTGGACAGCTGCACTGTGTCGGAACACACCCGTTGACACCACCGTTGGCTCGCTGGCAGCCCGCCGCGCTCAGTCAGCTTGGTCTGACATAGCCCTAAATGTGCAAGGCTGGCGCGCTAATGTGCACGGCTGGGCTTCACTTGTGTGTTTGCCAGCCGGACGCCGTACAGGCGGGGTGGGCGGCACATCGAGCTCGAGGCGATGACGAGCCGCGGCTGTTGGGGACGGTATGCCAACGAGCACCGTATTCGATTCCTGGGCCTTACGCTGGTGCTATGGGTGTGTGGCCGGGCATCCCCAGGACGTTGGCCAAGCATGAGTTTCGCTGACGCTTCGGGCAAATGGGCACCCGGCACAGGGAAAAGTTTCCGCACTGCGAGGCGCGAAAGTGGGGAACGCGCTCGGGGAAGAGAGTTTCCGCATGGCGCATGCGCGACCAAGGCAGCATGCAAAGATGGTGCGGTCTTCCTGGACTTGGGACGCACTGGAGCGCCCCATGGAGTTGGTGACCGCGGCACGGAGCGCATGTCACAATCTAGCTTCACAGACGACACCGGACGCTGTCAGAACACTGCACGCGGTGAACGACGTTGGGCGAGGTGTCCTGCCCTGTTTCTTGCAGCTGTGAGGTTGGCCTGGGTGGGGAGTTGGCCAGGGTCGTTTGCGGGATGTACGCCACGCTCGGCCTATTTTCCGTGGAGAGCACGACGGGGCGCTACAGGCAACGCGCCGGTTCCCAAAGAGAGTTTTCTTGGGGCGAGACAAGGAGATGGGTGTGAGCGCGACAAAATGAACGGAAACGGTATCACCAACGACGGAGCCCAGGCACCCACGCCTTCGCCTCGCAGCATGTTTCAGCACCGTGCGGAACATCTGCGGAGGATTCAGCGCCGGGTTCCGTTGGCGACAGCTAACGACCGAAGGGTGCAGCTAAAGCAGAAGGAAAGGTCCAGATGCTCTTCTCGCTATCTGGAGTCGTGGTTTCTTGCGACTGGCAAAGCACCCGACGCCCGCGCTCGGTGTGACACCAGAACAGGCGGATATAGCCCATTTCCCCACGTGCCAGCTCCAACCCGCGGCAAAAAGCTGCAGGTTGGGAAGATGGACGCTCCTTAAGCGACACAACTCTGGAAACGTGAGGGCGGTGAGGGTTCGCAAGGCGACAATCTTGCATGGGCGAGATGCCGGCAAACTGAGTATGTTTCGAAAGGCCTAGGACGGCACCCATATTCTATGCGGCCTTTCGCAAAGGCAAAACACGCAGAGCACACCACCCAGTTTGGCCAAAGACCAGCTGTGGAGTGCCGGGCCCTCCACAGCCCCCGGCGCCATGTCCTGGCCGCAAATGGCGCAACGCGCGCGGGACTCCGCTTGGCGCATGCTGTTCGCGTTCTTCTACAGGGTACCCAGCAGCCGTCATCGGATTGCGAATCGGCTTCATTCCTAAACTTGGAGAGCTCCAGGCTCTTAGACGCTGAACAGGCTACCACAACCCGCCGACTAACTGGGACACACCCCGCGGCGTGCCTCGCGGGCTGCGGCGCGCTTGGACCGGACGCGCCTTCCCCGAACGCCCGCGGCGTTGAAAAGGGGTGCCCGTTTTGGGGGCGCCCCGGTTTCCCGCGTCCGCAGGGGTTTTTGGAGCGCCACTCCGTTAGCTGCGCAGATTCTACAGATGGCTTCGAATCTGGTCGGCGCCGAGGTCCAAAAGCACTTCCACGGCTACGGCTGGTTTCGCGGCGTGGTGGTGGACACGTTGAGGCACTGTGGCCGCCGTTATTATAGAGTGGGTGGCACCCTTGGAAACCCACGCATCCATTTGACCCGCTCCTCGTGTTGGCAGTTTTCTTCTTCTTTTCTTCCCGGCTGATTCGGCTGTCGCTGTGCTCCCTTGCGCAGGTGGAGTACGAAGACGGCGACGCTGAGGACTTGAGCCTGGCAGAGTGAGCGTGTGCGCGGTGGGGGGGTCGGCCGCCCCTATCGGCCGAATTCAGGCTGGTCCAAACGAGCGGCCGCGCCGGTACACACTCGCCTGGCTCTGACCTGCCCCCATTCTGACGTGTTCAGGCTGCGCCAAATCTGTAGCTCACCAGTGCGCCCGGCGCTGACACCGGCGTGGGAGACACTCAGGTGGGCGGCAGGCGCCCATCATTGCCCCTCCCTGCCCACGCTATAAGGGTCCTGTCGATTTGCGCATGGAGCGGTGGATGAATGACGTGCTCTGTGGGCTGTGCATCGCAGGACGGTAGCGGCGAACCCGATTTGTCAAACAGTGATGGTAAGCGGTTGGTCCGGCGTGTGCGAAGGAAAACTACCGCCCACTTGCGTCGCTGTCTGGTTCTGGAGCCTGCTCGCCGCCCCCTCGTTGTTGTCGAAACCAGAAGCCTTCCCGCGACTGTCGCTCGCCGATGGACACCGAGCGTGTGGTGGCTCCAGAGCGCCAACGCTCCCGCTGCGCTCAGGCCCGATGGGGATGGGTGGGCGCCGGCGATGGCGTGGGCGCTCGGGGGACGCAACACGAGGTGCCCGCGGTACCACAGCAGTTTCGGTAAACCGTGGGGCACGGAGCCGAGAATGTCTGAGCAAACCCACGTCCCCCAATTGGCCTCCTTCACCCCTGGACCGAGCCCAGCCCGGAATGCGCTGGGGCACAATATTGAGTAAGCTGGGTTTGTCAACACCAGTTTGCTCCTCCTTGCCAACGAGGCCCTCGCTGCTGACGTCGACGCGCCCACCGGCTGTTCCTCTTATGTGTGAAGGCCCCACTTTGTTTACCGGGGCTGGTGGAAAGTTGGCGGCGCCAAAACGCCGTCGCCCTCGTAGGTGTCTCCGCCCATGGCGCAGTACCGTCCCACTAGGAGACACTTCCTCGCGGTTTCCAACTTTGAAATCTTGGGCTTGCGATTCTCCGCCCTGCGCCCATGTCTTCACCCCAGGTGGTGCAGTTCGGACCCGCAGCTGGCGTCGCCCCCTTTGTGCCTGGACGAGCTCATCAAAGTTCCGCGCATGGGCAGGCCCCCGATGGGCGCATCGGGTCCGACAAATGGCTTCGCATCCTGCCGCGATCGAAAGGTGCTGGAACGGCTCGCGGCGCCGAGTGCCGATGGCCGCGCACCCCTCCTTCGTTCACTGCACCGCGCACCGCGGCACATCCCCCGCCGGTGGAGTGGCGTTCTAGATCGGCAGGGATCTACCGCGCTCGCCTCACCCTTAAGTGCCCGCCTCCCCAGGCACCGCCTTTTCACCCCGCCGATCGCCGTCCGCTTCGCACGCTCGGGCGCCCGTCGGCGATGCCCCACCGCGGCTCCATTCAGCGCCCCCCTTGGATCCCCCGAAGCACATGGCGCCGTATCTTTCGGGCCCTTCCGCCGGCGATCCTCGCGATCCTCCCCGGACGCCGCCCCCGCTGGGCCCTCCGCCGCTCGCCCCCGCCTTCCACGGTCCCAGCCTTCCACTGGTGAGCGTCCTGGTGAACACGGGCTCGCGCCGCTTCAAAGCCCCAACCGGTTCCCCCGCCACCACTCGGCGCTGGCGCTTACCTGGAAGAGCGGGCCACTTGCGCACTGCCCACCCGTTGGCAGACTGGTCGCCTTTAGTCACCTCACCCCTCCACCCCCACACGCGCAGGCCGCGTGCAGGCAACCGCACGTCTGATCCCCCGGAGGGTTGCCCCGCAGGCTCGCCGTGCGTCCGCCCCAGCGGCGCGTCCTGTGACGCGACGGCGTCAAATGAAGAGCAGGAGGATGTCAAGGAGGAGGCTGAGGAGGGGTGGGTGCCCAGCGGCCTGGTTGTGAGGCGGGCCTGGGGCGAGAGGAACTGCCTGACGCCGGCCGATGAGGCGGCCGGTCCGTCGGGGGGCCCTGCGACGTTCTTCAGTCAAGATAAGGGCCGGGCGCCGCGATCAGGCCCCAAGTCATCGGAGCGGCGGCCAGCACTGACAGGTGTTTCACCGCCTTCGAACGTCACAGGGGGATTATGTAGTTGGCAAACGGGCAGACGGAAGGCTAGAGCTGGTACAAAGATGGCCGCAGCCGCCCGACACTCTGGCGCGCCTTCCCAAGAGCATTGAATGGCAAAAACTGAGGGGCAAAATGCCCAGCAGCTGCGCGGGACGTCGTTCACATGGGAACGTCTGTCCCAATTCCCAGCAATACAGAGAGTACCCCAGCAACCTGGATGCACTGCAGCAGTTTGGGTGCATTGTAGCATCTAGCCAGAGCGTAGGACCTCATTGGAAGCAGAGTCCTTTGCTACGCTGGGCATCGTGCTTCTGACAGTTGGGATGCCCATGTCACAGGCACACAGCAGTGCAATTGCGATCCCATTCTGATATACCGGGGCCCTTTTGCATCACGCTTTTCTGCACCAACGCGTGTACAATCCTTCAAGAGGGAACCTCACAATAACCTGACATTTTGTTGACCATTGCAAGCCAATTGACGTGCACTGGTATTTTTTTGTACCCGTTTGCAGGCAAGGGCCGCGGAAGCACCACAGGCAAGAACAAGATAAGGAACAAACGCAGAAAGAGAACTGCGGGCAAGGGCGCGCAGTGGCCCATCAATTACGAGAAAATCCCCAGAAGGCGGCGTAGTGACCTCGGTATTGTCACGATCCGAATGTCACCAGGATTTTCAATTCAGAAGCTGCCCCAGATGTTTAATGAATTTCAGAAATCCCTGGCGGCAATGGGCTCTTCTGCAGCCCAACGTTCAACCCGCCCTCGCCGTATTTCTGAAGACTGTTCCACGGTGGGTGAACCCCAGTCATGGCGTTAATGCCGAACCGCATCGTGACTGCGCTTGTTGAGCGATGCAGCGCACCGCCCTTGCATCCAAAGAGCATGTAGGGCATGAAGAATTGCGTGTACATGCGGGTGTGCGCTTTGCCTGGCTGACATCGAATTGCATTAACGGCAGCCCATCTCTTTGATCCTCTTGCGCTGGACCCACAGAACCGCGGGTGCGCGTATTAGCAGCGCGTTCCCGTCGCACGAGTGGCCCAGAATACGCTTGCGCTCAGAGGGCTGGGCTCTCTGAACTGATCCTGGTCCCAAATCGTCGGGGAGAAGGGCATGGCCGCTGCCGCCGCGGCGCCGACTTGCCCGTACACATGTCCGCAGCGGCTCACGGGAGGCACTATGCGCTATGCGCCGCACCCCTGGTGTCCGCCCTGTCTCCGCACGGCAAGACCAGCAGGTGTTTGACAGCGCAGCCGCTACCGCGCGGCGCTCGGAGCGTCCAGGTCACACCCCGGCTGTCTGCGGGCTGCGCAGGAGGGCAGCGTGAAGCACGGCTGGGGCAAGAAGCCGCGGCCTGCGGTGCCCGAGCAGAGCCGCTTCAGCCCCAACGAGAGCACGACCCTGATGTCCGCGTCGCCGGGCGCGCTCAACAACGCCTGCGCGTCGCCGCGGGCTGCCAAGGCGGGCGCTGCGGCGCCGTGGAGGGCGACCGCGGACGACTCTGCGAGGCTGGTCAACGCCGCGGACACGCCAGGCGTCTCCAAGGCCACCGTGGGCATGCATGGAATGAATGGATCCCAGAGTGAGAGGCCGGCTGGGCAGGGCCAGCGCGCAGGCGGCCGCCGCGCCGCCCAACAGCGCGGCGGCGGGAAGCATCGCCCCCCCCCGGGGCCGGTGGCCCACTGGCTGGCCGACTTGGCGGCGATCGACGCGTCTAGACGACCCGACGTGACGACTCGGGACGTCATCTGGGGGCGACTTCCGCGGGGGGCCGCGCAGGGAGGCGGGGGCGGAACAAAGGCGGCGGGGCCGGATTCGTGCATGGACGCCGCCGCGCCGGAGGCGCGGCCGAGTGGGGAACGGCAGGAGCAAGGCAGGGAAGAGGATGGAAAGGGCCCAAGGCTGGAGCCCCACACACCTCGCGGCGCCAGCGAGGCGGGCCGCGCAAAGGCCAGGCCGGCGCCGCCGGGAGTCATCAACCTCCTGATGAAGGCCAACCTGCTCACTCTGGGGGACAAGGTCGAGTACAGGGACGAGTCGGGGCGGGTGCTGATCGAGGGCTGGGTGTCCTGGACGGGCATCCTGTGCAGCCGGTGCGCACAGATCGACGACCCGGCCGCGTTCAGGCAGTGTGCCGGCGACGGCGACGGCAGGGCCATGGACCGCATACACACGTCGTCCGGCCACAGCCTGCGCGGCCTGGCCAACCGCCTGTTGCCCGACGTCTGGGCGGGCGCCGAATACGAGGGAGGGTCGGGGTCGGAGGCGCGCGTTGGATCTGCGCCGGAAGCTGCGTGCTCCCCCGCAGTGTAGTCATACGCGTAGAACTGTTTGCAGCGAGGGCTTCTTTTGGATGATTTCGGCTCCGGTGACGTCACTTTGCTCAAATTTCCCGTGGGCGAGTTGCGGGGGAGCCGGCTTGGGTGTGGGGATGGTGTATGGATGCGGCTGCGCCCCAGAAATATGCAATGCTGGGTCAGTCGGCTGTTGAAGGCCACCACCGCCGTGTCCACAGCCTGCAGTGCGTTGAATTTCCCACCCCTGGGAGGCCTTGTATCCTGGGGACACAATGTCAGAATCGCCAGTCACACCAATTCAGCCTAGGTACAGTGCACCAGAGTCGCACAGCGAGTCGGAGGCCCTTGGCCATGCAGGGGTACCTCTGGAGCTGCACTATTGAGGTAACGTGCCGTGTGCACAATAGATCAGCTAAGAAAGGGATCGCGAACCCTGACGATGTGACAGTTCGCCTAATGAATTGCTAATGGCGCTTGCAAGGAACTACACGCTTCGAGTGGATGTTAAGCATGGGCTTGCTTGGCGACAATTGAGCACCAGTGCACCCTATTCGTTAGGGCAGACGTCAGAATACAAGCAGTTGGCAGTACCATGGTAAAGGGTGTCATTACAATCCGATTTTTTTAGATCGGCGGGATTGATGTCATTATTGAGGAACCGCTCATGCAATCCACCATGGCGCATACCCCCATGAGTCGAATTCAACGACAGCAGCGCGGCGTTGCAGTAAATGCAACAGCAGGGCACACAGCCATTGCACTGAAGTCGGTGTGCTCATGCACTCAGAGATAACTGGTTAACGCGTAAATTGCTGGATGCACTTGGGATTCCATGACGCAAAGTGCTTTTCTAAGCGTGATTGAAACACTCCCTGTATCCATGTTTCAATCATACCATTCCTGGAGCAATTCTTCTGCCTCCCTTATCACAAATACATGATTAGTTGGGTTTAGCGGCCAGGCGCATCGACGTGGGAAATAAACCCACGCGTGCATTGTTTATCTGTGGCACTATACACTGTTACATATGCTGCTGTTGCCGAAGCACATGTGTTGTATTCTCACGCACAGTCAGAACGTATGTGACCCAGGGGTTGATCGTGTTGACGAAAAGCACGGCCGACGCCCTGAGTCAACATATATTGTGGATAGGTATTTGCTGCCTAAAATAACTGCAATCCATTCACCCTACTTACACTGAGCCAAGCCTCAATAGCGAATGCTTCGTGGCCATGTCGTCATGACTAGTTGATCAATGAAGGTCACCACCGCACATCTCAAGTGCAGGTATCCTTCAGGGTTCGGCTCACATGAAGGCGGATTCCCTTTCTGTGAGTTCTTAGGGTATTTACACCACATTTTTTGGCTCCGCCAAGCCAGAGGATTCTTATTTAGACTGCTTTTTTTAGGAGCTACGCCAAAACTTTAAGGACATACAATGGCATTTTGATCACGTCGTAAGCTTGGGTCAGAGACGCGTTCAGACTCGATCTTACATGGACAGATGGACTTGCACAGCATCGGCTCATGCGTCTATCTCGTGGCGCAGCATTGCCTCCACTGATACACGATTTATGGCACGGAAAGCAACACAAACACAACAAACGATAACTGTGGAGTGTAACTTGCGAAATATCCAGCCTTCAACGAAGTTGTGTTTACTTTCAATTTTCTCGAATTCTACTTTTGAGGATGATATGTGTCATAAGCACAATTTGTGGTTTTCTTATCTGCGATACGTGGGTGGGCGTTGACAACGTGCCAGACATCTTGTGGGGGTGCCTATGTAAGAATCCGTTTCTGGTAGCCGGGCCCACAGCAGCTTTTAGATACGTTGGTCTACAGACTGTGTTTGAAGGGATCTGCGCCCTCTAGCACACTGCATGGAGGAGCCAGGGCTCCGTTGCAAACAAGAAAACTTTGGCAGGGATTACTTACTGTTCTGGCAGGCTGCCTCTATTCAAAGAGAGCTCAATAACTGAGACCTCTCATTTTGATGCTACCCGCCCATCCCTTACATATTGAGTTGCATTTTCGGATTGCGTGCAGCACCTGGCTTTCACATTTTGATCAAGTCGCAGGCATGGGGCAAGCCAACTGATACGACGGAATGGTGACTGACAGCAATGATGGGGCACGATGCTTTGGCCGGTGTGCCAGTGGGGATGGGCAGGAAGTAGATCCCCTTGAGCAGAGCAAGAACAAAAGGAAGAATGCCGTTTGGCTTGTGTTGCACGACGCCCTTTCACAAGAGGTTCACGAGAGCATGCTCCCGGCATGCGAGACAGCACCGACTGTCGGGCAATGCCAGCAACACTGTCATGCGCTCGCCACAAGTTTGGGGGCGCCTGCGTCGAAGCACTACACCTGTCCTTCACTACTTCCCATCCGCATCTTGACGGCCGGCTGGTGTGCCACCGCCGGTCTGCCAATACTCCTCCCAAAGTGGGCTTCGAGCATGGCGGCCTGTCCGAGGATTGGCTGCTCGCCACGCATCTCCCACGCGGCACCGCGTTATACGGAGCTCCTGGCGCGGTGCCGGGCGCAATGGGCTCCGCCTGTGGGCGCCCACCCCAGCGCCGAAACACAACGCACGGGTCAGCCAGTTGGCCTGAGTGAGAGTCGGGATGTCAGACGCGCTGGAGCAGACGCGGCCGCGGCGGCGAACCCCGGCCAGATCGCGACAAGATCGAGGGGAGGGTGGTCGAGATGCGGGCCGGGGCTGGCGTGCAATGCTGTTGAGGTGTCGGGAACTGGCCGTGGCGTTGGGCGGGTGGCCCAACAGGGGGCGCCCGCGCCGGTTCACTCCAAACTCTTCGGATTGTTGCTGGCGGAGATTTTGGTTCTGACTGTCCTGGAGGGGCGCCTAAATGGCCACACTCTGGTGCAATCACGTGCGCCAGGGGGATGCCCAAGCCGCAAAGTCGACGTTGGGGTCTGGGCGCTGCGGCGGCGGATCTTTCACGGTGGGCGTTCACTGGGCATCCCGCGATGGCCATGCGCCTGCTCCCAAAGGCGCACCCCCAATGGCGCCCCTCAACTGCGGGGCGTTTTGCCCCGCAGCCCAAAAGGCGCGGCAAGGGCCTTCGAGCAGTGTCGTGAGCTCACACTCGGTCGTGAATCCTACCACCAGTCGGTCGTTTCTGCCACCAGCGGGCCTCTCTCCATGGGACAACGCTGCTACCCTTGGCGAAAGGTCCCCAATGCCCTCAAGTAGCCTGGGCATTGATCATGGTCCGCCACTGACGATGCCAATGCCTCCGTGGAATCTCGCACGCGTCTTGTTCAGTCTTCAATCCAAGGACACCCTATTCCGCGCGCTGTTCTAGGAGCAGGCATTGCCAAGGAAGCCCAATTGCTGGCGAGTCTGCCCCTTGCTCCCTGTCGAGAAAGGAAGGGGGCCGCAGAGGAGGCACAGCAGCCTGAAAGAAGGGCCATCGGTGCGGGGCCTGCTCGTCGACTGCAGCACTCTGCGCCCCAACTGCCCCTGTTGTGACAACCCTAACCATCAGCAATTCGCACATTCCATCGCTCCAATTTTGGACGGTCCTATGGATGTATGGAGGCTGCATCTTGACCCCATGTGACAACAACGATAACTCCAAAGTGAAAGGGAAGAACCCTACCGTATTTACCCGGTATTAGTAGGTGTGTATTGGACCCTCATAATGAGCGGAATTTTTGGTCTCAGGACGGGTATAAGGCATCCCGCGCATTCCCCTGAACCCCAAACCTACGCCCTTGGGACGGGTGCCAGCGCCCACGTGGCGTCCTGCGCCCCTTCATGCTGGTGCGGTGGAATCTAACAGTGGGTCATGGATACTAATGCAGTATAGACCCCTGATCCAAGAGGTAGACAAAGAAAATTTTTGAAACATAGATCGTGAAATGCCTCAAAATGGGCTTGAAATAATGTAAGATGCAGTGCATAGGTAGCAACATCACCAAGTCCAAGTTGCAAATAATAGACACAACACTATTAACAACACCATACTATTAGCAACAATGTTATTACTGAAAGTTGTCAGCCTCTTCATGGGAGCCAACGGCTTAGATTTCGGGTTGCACCTGGGGGGGGCGACTGGCGATTGATGCCAACAAGGGTTCCTTGGACTGCTTGAGGCGCATTTGCCTCTGCAATGCAAAGAACGAGGACTGGCATGGCCCGCACGATGTCATAAAGGCACGGCCCGTCCCCAATCCGCACAGTTGCTGGGCCACAAGCCCATGGGTTTGTTGTGCTATTGGCCAATCACATATCCCATCAGCTGTCCAAGCCGGCATCAGCCTGTGAAGACACCGGAGGCCAAGTCCATCATCACGATGTGGCGCCCCGGCATGTCTAAGCCACTTTGCAAGGTGCTATCTCATAGAAGCGGCCGCCGTGATGGTCACGGCGTGACCAGCGCTGCCGCCTGCCTATTCCTGGCGCTGGGCCTTGGTGCACCCTAACAGATGTCACCAGCTCCCGCTCTGGCCGGCCGGGGAGTAGGTTGACTCAATCTAGAAACCAGTGTGGCTTTCATTTCTCGATCGTTTGTTATATCGAGCCTAGTGGCGTCGTTTGTCGCCCAACGATCTGGTGCTGCATACCCCAACGGCAGCCAATCAGCCCCACAGCCTTTTGTGGGCCTCCTGCCAAATTCTCCCTCAATGGCATCCACACTGACCCGATTGGCATCGTTGACATGCAAAATCGCAGGGAATGCGGTTTGGCTTAGACTGAACAATATAACCGAACACCAGCTGCCAATATCCCTTGCCGCCATCCGCACCTTTCCTCACTTTTATTTCATTGAGGCTTGGGGGTGGATATTGACAGCACGTCATGGATACTAACGTGGTTTTAGCCCCCAAAGAAGGGGGGTGGATACTAAGGGAAGGCGCTATGTTGATTTTGTTAATAACATGCTCAGCATCAATTTTGCGTTAAGCTCAGAGACTCCTCACCCCCAACCCACTCCCTCTGTTTTGGTGCCCTGTGTTGTTCCGGGGCTCCCTCCTATAGCATCTGCAACATTGGTAGAAAAGGAGGGGTTTTGCCTTGTTATTTTGTAATGCCATCTTAGCACCCCACCTCCCAACCCCACCTCAGCGTCAATCCTTACGTCGATGTAAGGATGACTGAACAACATTATGTGACAATGATATGCAATTTCTAGGTGGTTTTGAGGACAAAAATTAGTCAAAGTTGTGCTCATTTCAGTGGGTTGAGAAATGGGATTGTAAATGCCATTATAGGCAAAGCGTGCAACATTAATTTTTGTATATTGATCCATTTAAGGCCTTTTCTGATCATCGAACACCTGCAGATGGTTTAAGAACAAATCATAAGTTGTTTCCAGCTGATCCGCGGCGTTTGTGGGTATCTTTCCTCCTTATGTCGATTTTGTTGTAATTACCTAATCTCTTAGCGTTACACGCCCCCTATGTTCTCTTCATTGTGCTATCGATTCCAATGCAAATGT